ACCATTCCTGTTTTGGGGGTCATCTTATTGTTGCCCATCTAGTGCACCTGTCGTTAATTTCACGACAGCTGAAGCTGATTAACAATCCCCTTTGCAACTTAACTGGCCAGATCAATATCCCAGGAGTTTGATTGACTTGATGCTATACTCTGATTAAAAAGTGTTCCTTTAATTTTTTTGAGCACTGTATTTGCATAATGTTTTGCCTTCATTATTGTGACACTGACGGCCCAGAGGAAGCTGATAAGCCATCAAGCCTTTTCTTCCTCTTCCTGATGCTAGTATTGCAGTTACATAGTTACAACGTACCATTTGTTATTGCTATTTGGTTATTTTTTTATTTTATCAGTGTTTTGCTTTTTTGCATTAACTGGGGATGTACCTCTGAAACCTTCATTCTGTGGTCTACTCATTTGAGTGAGCCTAATATACTAAAGAATCGTGTCTCTTGCATTATTAATTCATACCATTGAAATATAATTGAACCCAGAGTGTCAGAAGTGTTGGGAAGCTTGCAAGGTCAGAGCAACCACTGGGGACAAACATTATCAAGTGGCCCCTGCGGGTGTAGCGCTACACAGATATAAAACAGCAATTTAAAAATGTATAAATTTATCAAAAACTCAGATCACAAATTCAGTGAACTGAACCATGGAGAGTAATTTGAGCTGAGAAGTGGTGAGTTAGAGCTCATTTACACCTGCATTGGTCTCTGACCCTAGGTTCACATCTGTGCGGGTGGTGCTGCTGCAGATCCGCACGAAAATCCGTGCAGCCGCACCACCCACACAGAGAAATGTGGACCCGTACTGGAAAACGCAACCGTACTGGGAACCGAGGTTCCCATGTAGATTGCGTTTTCCAAAGACGTGCAGGGATTTCTTCCCTGCATGTCACGGGCACGGGAGTCCTTTCAAATGAATGGGCTCTCGTGCCCAAGCAAAACGCGGCCCACATGGCTGCATATATGTGAACCGGGGGTGAATCTCTGAGTGATTTGAGGAGTGATCTGCAGCTGAAAACATTCAGGAGGGGATACTGTCATTTTCAGAACGACAGGGTTTTGGAATGGGAATACCATTCAGTTAAAGTGGTTGTAAAGGCTCAAGGTTTTGTACCTTCATGCATTCTATGCATGAAGGTAAAAAAACCTTCTGTGTGCAGCAGTGCCCCCAGCCCCTTCATTACTTACCTAAGTCCCATCACGATCCATCGATGTGCACAACAGCCTCGGCTGTCCCAGGTCTCTGCCTCCTCATTGGCTGAGACAGCAAGCAGGAGCCGTTAGCTCCTGCTGCTGTCAATCACAGCCAGTCTGCCAATGAGGGGATAGAGGGGGCAGAGCCAAGCCACAGCTCCTTGTGTGAATGGACACACGGAGCAGCGGCTTGGGAACAGCCTGCTCGAGTGCCCCCATAGCAAATTGCTTGCTATGGGGGCACACAACAGAAAGGAACCAGGCTTCACTGTGCAAACCAGGCTTCACTGCACACAGCAGGTAAGTATAACATGTTTGTCATTTTACAAAAAAAAAAAAAGAACCTTTAGTATCGCTTTAAATACGTCACATACAGCAGTGTTACTGCCCACCAATTGCTACAGGTCCATGGAAGGCTGGTGCAGAGAAACGGTAATCGGTTCATAAGGGTTGAAGCTGGTGGGTGAGATACACCACTCAGAGATGTGAGCAATGCAGTTGGTTGGATCTGGCATATGCTTTATGTCTTTATGTGTAGGTTTATTCACCTAAAGAAGTGAGTGTACGGGAGTTGTTTGTAACAGACTTGATATTGCACCATAACACCATATGGAGCAAATCCTTTTTTTTACATTGCGTTAGATGAACTGAGGTGATAGTTTTGGTCAGAGGAAGACTTTGGTGTTGGAGAAAAAGACTACTTTATAAACTGCTTTTGACCATAAGCTTTGGTCACATATTTATTTATTACAGGTATTTATATAGCGCCATCCATTTACGCAGTGCTTTTACATATATATTGCACATTCACATCAGTCCCTAACCCTCAAGGGGCGTACAATCTAAGGTCCCTAGCTTACACTCATACATACACATACTAGGGCAAATTTAGACAGATCCAATTAACCTACCAGCATGTCTTTGGAGTGTGGGAGGAAACCAGAGTACCTGGAGGAAACCCACGCAGGCACAGGAAGAACATGCAAACTCCAGGCAGGTGGTGCCATCACTGGGATTTGAACCAACGATCTTAGTACTGCCAGGCAGAATATCTGGTGAGTTTGTTTTGCACATAAGTGTCATGCGCGTTTTTCTTTTCAATACTGACAATGTAGTGTGAAGTTTAGTTTGAAACTTTAATTGCAAATAAGATCCCCATTCAATTAAAAGTTACAGTTACAATTTAAAGTTACAGTTTTCACTGACACAAAAGATTTCCAATTGCTTCTTACGATTTTACTCCTGAACACAGCGCTGGTAGTTTGTCACCAAGCCTACTAACAAACTGTACATTGTTATTCTTATCTTGTTTCATTGGCCAAATGTTGTGGCCACTCTTAGGTCCCTTTCACACAAATGGATCATTCGGACTTTCCATTGGTCTCTATAAAGCGGCAGATGTAAATAGATATGTGTCTGTTTACACCCACCTGCATCAGATCCGATCTGCTAAAAGCAGCTGGATGGGGATCAGTTCCCCGTCCGTCTAGTGCAGGGGTGTCAAACTGGTGGCCCTCCAGCTGTTGCAAAACTAGTCCCATCATGTCTCTGCCTTTGGAAGTCATGCTTGTAACTGTCAATCTTGCAATGCCTCATGGGACTTGTAGTTTGGCAACAGCTGGAGGGCTGTCAGTTTGACACCCGTGGTCTATTGGATCATATGGCAGTTTGGTATAAACAGACAGGCGGTCTGTTTACATCCGACCGCTCATAGAACAAAGCAGGCTATGTCTGTGTCCGCTCTGCATAAGTGGAACGGACACAGACCTGCCATCCGCCTGCTCAGCAGGAATCAGCAGACAGATTCCCTGCTGATCAGGCTGATCCGCTGGTGGAGTCCCCCTGTGTGAAAGGAGCCTTGCTGTCAATTGCATTCTCGCTTTAACCTCTTCCATATCGAGCACTTATACCCCCTTCCTGCCCAGGCAATTTTAAGGTTTCAGCGCTCTCACACTTTGAATGACAATTGCGCGGTCATACAACATTGTACCCAAACTAAAATGTTATCATTTTCTTCACACAACTAGAGCTTTCTTTTGGTGGTATTTAATCACCATCGGGGGTTTTTTTTTTTGCTAAATTAACAAAAAAAAAACCAAAAACTTTGAAAAAAAAACACATTTTTCTTTGTTTCTGTTATAAAAGTTTGCAAATAAATAATTGTTCTTCATAAATTTAGGCCGAGATGTATTCTGCTACATGTCTTTGGTGAAAATAACCCAAATTAGGATGTATTATTTAGTCTGTAGGAAAGTTATAGAGTTCACAAACTATGGTATAGATCTGAATATTGATCAGTCCTGAAGTACTGACAGCCAATCTAATTTCTTGAAGTCCAAGAATGTCAGAACAGTACAGATATCCCCCAAATGACCCCTTTTTGCAAAGTAGACAGTCCGACGTATTTCATAAGAGGCATGGCGAGTTTTTGTGAAGTTGTCATTTTTTTGTCATACTTTTTCGGAAATGAAGAAATTAAAAAAAATGATTTTCACAATTTTTTTTTTACGTACTGTCACCAGTGCAGTACAGCGTCATCATATAACTGGCATGGCGGTGATCAGGGACACTGACTGGTGACAATATGAAAAAAAAAAATTGTGAAAATCATTTTTTTAATTTCTTCATTTCCGAAAAATTATGACAAATAATGACAACTTCAAAAAACTCGCCATGCCTCTTATGAAATACGTTGGACTGTCTACCTTGGGAAAAGGGGTCTTTTTTTTTAACTTTTTTATTATTTTTTATAACATTTTTTTTCTCTTTTTTAAGTTTTTTTTTCATATTTTACTATGACCAAAGTAGTATAATGTTACCATAGTAACATTGTACTACTTTGGGGAAGTGATCAGTATTTATTTTTTTTACACAATTTGCTTATAGCAAAGAATTCATTCAGGGCTTTTTTTGTGCTTAGCTGTGATTTGGCCACAGCTAATCACAAGACACAGATAGGCTGTGATTAGCCCAGCTTGTGCATGTGATTGCTGTGACCATTCACAGCTAGCCATACTTCTATACAATGGATGGCATGAAAGGAAGCCATCCATTGTATACAACTGTCATGTGACCTGCTGTGATTGGTCACAGCAGGTCACATGGTACTGGCAACGGGGTCAGTACACAGATCTGTCATCGGCCGTGTCCCTGCGGGCAGGCGCAATGTACTTGCCTGAAAGGATGCCATATGGCGTTCACCCAGATAGACGAGCTGTTCACCCGGCCGCCATCTGTCTATAGGCCGAGCGGCAACTGGTTAAAAATACGAGGAGTCTTCAAAAAGTTTCCGCACTTTTATATTTTCATTGGAAACGGTGAGGGCGGGAGGAGTAGTTATTGGACGTATCTGAGAGTGTCATGTGACTAGTCAAATAAAGTATGAAAACTTTTTTGAAGAAACCTTGTATAATTTAAAAAAAAAACTACAGTTCAGGACATTATCTAGAGCAGTGTTTCTCAACCTTTTTTCAGTCAAGGCACCCTGTAAAATTATGGGCAGTCTCCATCAGTGTTGGGGTCACATTAGCTCAGTGATGGAGAAAAACTGAAGGAGAAGAGAAACATTTGAATACTACTCAGTACCAGTGTGCAGAAGTGTATTTGCTTTGGAAGAATAAAGCGCCTCTAATGTTGGGTGTCCTACATGTGTGGATGTTGCTGTGTTTTATAAAACTATTACAATAGTTTTTTTTTACATTTGAATGGGGTGCCCTTTTAAAATTATGGACAGTCTTGAGGCACACCATTCTAAAATTGTTATAATACCACTAACAGTTGACCAGGGGCGGACTGACAACTCATGGGGCCCCCGGGCAATAGGGGATCATACGGCCCCTGTGTCCTTGCCCAAACTCAAAAAAGCCTATGCAAAAGGTACCAGGGGCATCTCATGGGGCCCCCTACTGACCCCGGGCCCTCGGGCAGTGCCCTAGTTTCCAAATGGTCAGTCCACCCCTGCAGTTGACCATGGAATATTTAATAGCAAGAAAATTTCACAAATGGATTTATTTCACAGGTGGCAACCTATCACAGTACCACGCTTGAATTCACTGAGCTCCTGAGAGTGACCCATTCTTTCACAAATGTTTGTAGAAGCAGTCTGCATGCCTAGGTGCTTGATTTTATACACCTGTGGCCATGGAGGTGATGCAAACACCTGAATCCAAGGATTTGGAGGGGTGTCCCAATACTTTTGCCAATATAGTGTACTGTATGTGTGGCTATGGTGAGTAATCAGCAGTGGAAAATAACGTTAAACCTTCTTCCACAATCAATATTAGCAACTAGGCACTTATCAAACACAAGGCAGTGTCAGTAATGCAGTAGACAAATGGTGCTTACAGTCAGTAGGTATTCTTTCACTTTTTGAGCTTCACGCATTGCATATTTTGACATTGCTGCATGTTTTTTGTGCACAAAAACGTGTGTCTGTTTTACAGTGTTTTCGGTGCCATTAGTAGCAATGAGTGCCACTGCCAATACAGCTGTTTTTTTTTGCATGTTTCTTAAACGTGTGCAGACTCGCAGGATTTTCCATGCATTCATGAAATGCTATAGTGTGAATGCATAAGACTACATGCATAGAACAGCCAATTCATTCCAATGGGCTGCCCTATGTGCGCCAATCGCAACAAAGTAGCTCATACAACTTTTTGAGCTTCGAGTGTGTTTGTAGAGTATTTTAAAGCACTTCTTGATTTTCAAGCATCTTGCGTTTAGTGTGGGTGTGGATTTTTGCAGTTTTTTTTTTTTTTCAAGCAAAAAAAATGTGTGTCTGGTTCACACTAGAGCGATATTTCAGCGACTTTCAACATTCTGGCGACATGTAAAATTATAGGGGAAAGCACTTAGATTTTAATGGGTGCTCTCCTAATTGCCACAACTTGAGTTGCTGCGATAAAAAAAAATAATTCTTGCACTACTTTTTGGCAACTCTTGTCATGCACAACTCCCATAGACTTCAATGTAAAATCTCCAGCAAGTCCTACATTTGTCGTAATTGCAGCCACTTTGCTGAGACTTCTAAGGCAGTCTTTTTTAACCTTCACCTCTCCTCCCTGGTCATCCTTGCTGCCTAAAAACATCCTCCCTAGTACATCACATGCACAGCTGAGTATAGCAGAAACACTGCTCGAATTTTTTTTGCGTTTCTTTACGTGTAAACATACATCGCGTTTAGTCTAGCCCATTCCCTTGAATGGGCTGCCCTACGCATGACAAATGCAGCGCTCATTTTGGCAGCAAAACACGCATCTGCTAACCGTGATTGGTGTGTCATTAACAATTAGCCTGCATTCACATCTGCGCATTTCTGAAAACGTAGCAATCTGCGTTTTAGAAAAATGAGGCAAATTTGCAGCGTTGTAATTTATGCCGCGTTTGCATCTACGTCTTTCTGAAGGCATGCAACCCGCACAGAAAACACACTTTTTGCTGTGCGTTTAGAAAACACGTAATAACGCCCACTAAATGTGTGGCACGCTCATGGTGCCATTTAGGCTGCGTTTGCATCTACATGGTAACCCAGAAGAAATCGCACGCTTTTCCGTGCATTTCAAAAATGTGTGTCAATGTGTGTCACGCTTGAGTTACTATATAAGCTGCATTCTCATGTTCGCGTTTCGGAAAGCATGGCAAACCACAGAAAATGTGTGCTTTTCTGTGCTTTTTGAAAACATGCACCACTGCGCGCTGCACTTGTGCTACCTATCCTTTGTATCTGCGCATTTCCAAACGCACGGCAACCCGCAGGAAATATCCACGATTTGCCATGCATTTTAAAAACGCCTGGCAACACGCCTGACAACGTTGCCTTACCATTCATTCACATCTGCACGTTTCTGAATGCACGACAACCTGTAAGGAAACACGCACACTTTGCCGTGCATTTTGCAAATGAGCAACAACACATGTCGCACTTGCATTACCATTTGTTCGCATCTACGCGTTTCTGGACACATGGCAACCCACAAGCCACCGTGCGCTTTGCTGTATATTTTGAAAATGCGCAGCAATGTGCGTCATGCTCGTATTGCCATTTACGATGCGTTCACCTCTGCACGTTTCCAAACATGCGACGATCTGCACAGAAAACATGCGCTTTGCCTTTTTTTCAGAAACACCAGCGTGATCTGCGTTTGCAGTGCATTTCTGAAATCGGTGGGGGGGTGGACACGCATTCAGAAAAACGCAGATGTAAATGAAGCCTAATTGTTAATGTCAATTAATTCTGGACAGCCATTCACTGGGAAAACCAGTGTGCTGCTGTTTCTCCTCCCCCACCTCTCTATGCAGCTGAGGTGAAAAAAAGGAGAAATAGTGTTTATAATTTTTTTATTATCTGTACGCAAATGTTTTGCCTTTCGTTTCCATGAGTTTACATATGCTTTAACCTCCCACGAGTGTAGCTTGGGGTAAAGTTTCAGCACCACAAGTGGTAACCCCAGGGGCGGACTGACCATTTGGAAACTCGGGCACTGCCCAAGGGTCCGGGGTCAGTAGGGGGCCCCATGAGATGCCCCTGGTACCTTTTTCATATGCTTTTGGTTTGGGCAAGGACACAGAGGCCCCATGATCCCCTATTGCCCGGGGGCCCCATGAGTTGTCAGTCCGCCCCTGGGTAACCCCGAGCTACACTCGGGAATACCTTGCAGCGCTGCTACGGGATCCCTCTATCACTTACCTTGTCCTGCGCTCCCTGCAATGTCCCTCCTGCAGTGTCCCTGGCAATGTCCTCTGGCTGATGCCGGCATCTATCTTCTGGGTTCTGTTCCCTGCGACGTCAGGACGTACGGGGGACAGAACGGCGGGAAATTTAATAATGTGAAAAAGTGACAGTCACTAAATACACTAAAATCACACAGTATAACATCACTGTATCAAACCATTTCACATACATTTTGTCCCGAGTGCTTTGTCCTGTGCCCTGCCTGCATTTTTACTGTTCTTTCTGCCTGGAAACTGAGAAACGTCCATGTCGTCCAAAAAGCATCCCTTTGGGGTTTATTTACTAAGCTGGAAAGTGCAAAATCAGGTGCACTTCTGCACTGAAACCAATCAACTTTCAGGTTTTATTGCCAAAACTTAATAGAACAAGCTGAGGTTAGAAGCTGATTGGCTACCATGCACAAGTGTACCAGATTTCTGAGTGAACCAGCTTTAGTAAATCTCCCCCTTTATGTCAAAAGTGGTTTTAAACCAGCTAGAGAACAGCGATAGTAAATCAGAACCACTTGCAGAATTCAGTGATAATGATTCGTGGGGAAATTCGTCATCAGACACTGAAAACGATTTTGCGACTTTGCTCAGTGATGTGCGAACTTGGCGCTCTATTTCAAATTTCAGTGTTTTTGGTTTGATTATATTATTGAATTAAATTTTATTATTTTTTTTTATGATTATTTATTAAATGATAATTTATGATTTCGTGTTTCAAATTTTATCATGTTTACTAGACTCTTGTTTGGACAGATTTCAGTGAGTTATTCCTAAAAATGACAGGCCTCCAAGAAAAAAAAAATACATATTTCCATGCAAAAAAAAGTACCGCTTTGAGCACAGACTATATGGACATAATCAGACTGCTAGGGAGGTTAAAGACTGGCAAGCTGCAATATATAAAAATTTTTATTTTTGGGTTTAGATATGATTTGGAGATATGCTGGTTATGGGTTCAGATATGCTGGTAAAAAAAAAAAAAACAAAAACAAAAAAAAATATATATAAATAGTAAAACTTTGATTACGCCACATCTCTCCAGGGAAGAATAGGGTGAAGACGGGGGCCCAGACGATGATCACCTATGGAAAATAAAGACTTCCTCCCAGACTCATGGACTTGAGTCACTGGAGTAGAGTGTATGTAAGAGATCTAATCCAGATTGTACAGTCCCTGTGGTAAGAGAGCCTCACAAGAGCAGTGAAAGAGGAAAATAAACCTGGGAGGGGTGGGAAGGAGAAGCAAGGGCGGAGAATAGAGAAGTCTGAGGAATTGGAAGCAATAGCGTGCTGATTGTAAAGTTTGAGCAGTAAGCACTCTCTCTCTCTCTCTCTCTCTCTCCTTGCCTTTGTTTAATGGGAGCTCTGCCTGTGTCTCTGTGTAACCCGCTCTCCCCGGGGATCTTTGATCAGACAGATGCTCTGTGAATTAATCCAGTATTCAGTCTCAGCAGCTATCCATGATCATCAGCAGCACACAGAGCCCAGAGTCCTTTCTCTGCCTGCATCATGCTGCTCAGCGTCACCGACACAGTAAACTCTTCGCTGTGATCAGCCCAGACGCGTGTAACATGGATTAGGGCGCACAGTGCAAGGAGCCGGACTTTTACGCGTGTGTGTCTGCCGTCTGCGCTGTGCAGCCTCTGCCCTCTGTGCACGGAGGACACCGAGATCTATTGTCTTCGCAAGTGAGTGTGCTTTGGATGAATGTGGCCATGAGCACGGGGAACATGCTGAGCCGGGGAGAGCAGCTGCCTGCCCTGCCAGGGATGCTGGAGGAGAGCAGCCAGCGGAGGAGCAGGACCCGCAGGAAAAGGAAAGCGTTGCTGCTGGGGCAGATGTGCTTCATGGGATGTCTAATGCTGGTTGGATCATCACTCTCCCACTGGGCAGGGAAATCAGGTGAGTTCTTCAAGTTCATCTGCTCTAAATGATGCTGAAGAGAACCGGTCGTGGCCAGGTTTAGCCAAGATTCGGAATATTCCATTGACGTGTAGGCTTACCAATGGAGGATTTAGATTGGAAATATGTACAAAAAGAACTATCGCTCACCACACACGTTACAATCTGATTGGACATTCTCTTTTAGATCTACCAACAACTATGTAGTGTGAGGGTCTGCTTGACTGAAAGATAAGGTATAGTCCTCATATTGCA